GTGTGCGTGCGTGTGTGTGCGTGTGTGTGTGTGTGCGTGTGTGCGTGTGTGTGTGTGTGGTAGATAGTCCCGTCCTACAGCGTGTGTACGTACGTACGCACGTACGGTGGGCGCATGAACATGGCTGACGATACACGCAAACAGACGTACGGTGCATGCATGTAGGCTACATCAATAGTGCATAATAGAGATTCTATAATAGTCTATATTATGTACTCTTGATGTACATGGCTGACGCAAACAGACGTACGGTGCATGCATGTAGGCTACATCAATAGTGCATAATAGAGATTCTATAATAGAGTCTCTATTTATGTACTATTGATGTACATGGCTGACGCAAACAGACATACGGTGCATGCATGTAGGCTACATCAATAGTGCATAATAGAGATTCTATAATAGAGTCTCTATTATGTACTATTGATGTACATGGCTGACGCAAACAGACGCGGGAAACAGCATTGAATCGAGAATCCGTCTGCGACGTGAATGGCGGGAAAATCCTGTCAGCATCGTCATAGCGACACAGACGCGCGTCGTTTGTTGACGCACGCACGCACGCACGCACGCACGCACCGCCACGCGCGCACGCATGCACACGCACGCACCCACGCACGAACACGCTCCGCTCACATGCACGCACGCACAACACTATCCATTTGCTTGTCCAACTCGAAAAGTACGAATCGAACGTATGAATTATTCACATTGTCTGCGCGCGCGGCGACATATCGGCTGCTACGTATACGTGCGTGCGTGCGTGGCGGTGCGTGCGTGCGTGCGTTGCAATACGTGCGTGGTAATGCGTGCGTGCGTGGCAGTGCGTGCGTGCGTGGCAGTGCGTGCGTGCATGCGTGCGTGGCGGTGTGTGCGTGTGTGAACGACAGTGGAATTAAATCGGATTAAACGCCGATGATTCCGCGTGCTCTCGTGAGGCCATGCATGCTCCACGTGTATGGCAGGCGAGGTGGGGCACAAATGGTATTTAGTGTCTATCATTAAATCATTTAGTGTTTGTCAATAATACACGTGCAGCCTTTTATAAATTACAGCTACCCTACTGTTCTGACACAGCCTGTAATAAAGCGTAATATTAGCGTATAATTGCCTTTGTCACAGACAAGTCACCATTAAAGCGGACAGATTATACCTGCATTGTGCGGTGAGTGGTGACTGAGTGAGAGTGAGCCGGAGAGAGAGAGATGGAGAAAGAGAGAAGGGGTGCTGAGAGAAGGGAGAGAAAGAGATACAGAGAGATAGAGGGAGAGAGAGCGAGAGAGAGAGAGAGAGNATCGCTGAGAGGGTCTATGTTGCCGGTATACCGGAACGTACCCTGGTACTATTTAATATGCCGGACCGTACCTCGCCTACTCCACTAACGAGTCTAGGGAGTCGTCTACGCCTACTCCCTAACCCTAACCCTAACCCTAACCCTAACCCTATCGCTGAGAGGGTCTATGTTGCCGGTATACCGGAACGTACCCTGGTACTATTTAATATGCCGGACCGTACCTCGCCTACTCCACTAACGAGTCTAGGGAGTCGCCTACGCCTACTCCCTAACCCTAACCCTAACCCTAACCCTAACCCTAACCATATCAGATAGTACCAGGGTACGTTTCGGTATACCGGACCATACCCAGGATACGTTCCGGCAGTACCCTGGGGGACATAGACCCTCTCAGCCTATGTGATAGTTTAGTTTTTCATTTCAGCACGAAATGTTTTGCATCGTTTTCAATTTCAACCGAAGTGAAGCTCCGTTATTTCGCTCGGCGACAAGTTTCTGACAGCTGTCGTATTCGCCAGACAAAGGAAATGACCTTTACATTTAGTGAAGGACACGTATAGTCAATAATACAAGCTTCTATATTACCTTACCGTACTGTTGTGCTGGCCTTCCTGCAATTGAATTCCGTAAAACGTTGAACCTGACAGTAAAATCGAAGGAAAGGCGGATGAAATAGGTCTCACGTACACATGAAGCAGAAAGAGACTCGTACACACGTACCCCGCTCTCTAGAACAAGCAATCTTGACGAGCAAATTTTGTCGGCCTTGCCTTTCGTGCACGCTGCCCTAAAACAAACACAAGTTTTAACGCGTGCATTTCCAGTGGTTGCCTTTGAAGCGAAGATTTCAAATGTTTTCATCATCCGTTATCAAGTATATTCAATTTAAGACCCTCCCCCTCGCAACAACCCCGTCTGTACAACAGGGGCAGTCCTACAACGTGAGTTTTCTTGTCTGTCAGGCCTCTCCTGTCCCTCCCTCTCTATCCGTCTCCGCAGCAACTGCAGTCCTAAAACCTGAAATTTGTTGTTGTTTATTCATTTCCCCCTTCCCCGCATCTCTGCTACATAGACAGTTCAAACACGTTAATTTTCTTGTCTTCTATTCTATTCTATTCTATTCTGTAATCTTCTTAAACTCTCCCTCCCTCTGTCTCTGTGACGAAGACAGACCTAAAACGTGAATTCGCTTGTCTTTCAGACCTGCCCCCCCCACCACCTGCCCCTCCAAACGTTTGTGAACCATAAAACGTGAATTCGCTCTCTTCGTATTTCAGACCCAGCTCCCCCTCTAAACGTGTGTGCAACGCAGGCCGTCGTACCACATGGTTTCCTTGTCTTTTAGACCACCCCCCCCCAACCCCACCTCCCGCCACCGCCACCTCCAAACGTTTGTGCAACACACCTATGTAGTGAAGGTTTTTGGTACATCACTTTTCAGTGCCACGCTTATAACGCGTGAATTCGCTCTCTTCGTCTTTCAGACCCCCGCCCCTTCCAAACGTTTGTGCAACACGCTTATAATGGCCCTGTCACACTAGAGCGTATAGCCTTAACGTATGCCGAGCGAATGAATTATTTTGGAAAAGCCATCATACGCTGGCATACGTCGACACGGGCACCTGAAAAAATAAGGATTTTTGTGGATTGGTCGTATACATAACGTATACACAACGCGTACACAACGCCATTATAACGCGTGAATTCGTCTTTCAGGTCCGCTTTCGGCGAAACTGGTGGCGAAGGTTCAGAGTCACCGACTGCTGGTGGTTATAGGCGGACTGGTGGCGTTCGTGGGGCACGTGGCGACCGCCTACGCTCCCAACATCTACGTCATGCACTACACATACGGCATACCGACGTCCCGAATATCAAGACCGTACGTCGATCGGTTAAGATTTGTGCCCAACTGTTGACGGACGGACGCACGGACGGACGGACGGACGGACAATCATGCGAGTCTATAAGTTGCATCTGACTTCGTCAGCTGCGCTAAAAAACAGACAAAAATAAAATAAAGAAGAGTCATTTCATCAATGTTTGCACATTTTATTAAAAAGTAAAAAACCGCTTTAATAGTCGGTTGCTGCAAACGACTGACTTTCGATTATAATCGATCATCGGGACATCACTAATATTAATACTATTTACGGTTTCTGATTATAATTCTAAGCGCCACGAGCCTGCATGCTTGTGCAGTGTATGTAAATTACGATGCAGAGTGTCTAGTGACAAGCCTACTCTCGTCATATACTTATGGATCAAGGATAGTTTGGAAGTGGGACCCCGCAAATGTGTTTTTCGCATATGTGCTAAACTAAATCCGGGTTGCTAAACTAGGCTAAACTTGGGTCTTTACTTTCTGTCAGTGAGTTTATCGCGGGGTTTATGGTGGGCACAAATTTTTCAATGCCGTAGACATATACTGACTTTGAGACCATAAACTTGTTATTAATGTTCTATAGCTGTCATAGATACTGTTGGGATGTTTGCATCGAACAGGCACTTGGGACAGAGTTAGTAAAAACTGAGAATAATATCAATAGCTCATAATATAGCTCTCTATTATGAGCTCTTGATATTATTCTCTCAATATATATCAACAGGTATACTGTATAGTAGCTTTTGTGAATGTGCCACGTTCAGATTATTCTCAGTTTTTACTAACTCTGTCCGAAGTGCCTGTGCCTTTAATGTTGTATGGCTGCTGTTAACTTGCCTGATGCTATAATCTTGTTAATATTGTATGGCTTCTGAGTTTGATGTCCTCTGCATAACACTCCGTGAATATGCGAGACACCTGTGTCTAGAGTTCAAATCGGGATCATTCATTCAGCTGCACCGTTGTCGAGATACGAATGCTAATGTTCGTGTGAGAGAGCTAAGGCAATGAAATGTGCACGGGAAACAATGCTAATACTCGTGCGAGAGCACTCTAAATTAAGGCAATGAAATGTGCACGGAAAACCGAGAACTTGCGTAACATAAAATATGAAACCCCCCCCCCACACACACACACACACACACACACACACACA